CCACCGTACAATCACAGTTATAAGCTAGGCCTACTTATGCTACACAATCCTATGTAAGCCAATTTGGTTTAAACGTAGCTTTAAGCTAGGCCTACTTATGCTACACAATCCTATGTAAGCCGATTTGGTTTAAACGTAGCTTTAAGCTAGGCCTACTCACGTTACACAATTATATATAAGCCGATTTGGTGAAACGTAGTTTTAAGCCAGGCCTACTCATGCTACACAATCCTCTGCAAGTCGATTTGGTTTAAACGTAGCTTTAAGCTAGGCCTACTCACATTACACAATCATTTGTAAGCCGATTTGGGGAAACGTAGTTTTAAGCTAGGCCTACTCGCGTTACACAGTCCTATGTAAGCCAATTTGGTGAAACGTAATAAATAAATTATTAATAATAAACTACAAAATTCACTGATTATCTCTACCAGAGAAACAAGCTTAAATCTCGTTATTTGCTTGTTTACATAGCTTAAACTTTTCCAACTACTTTCTTGTGTTTAGTTATGTTTAGTTAACTGACCTTAAAACAAGTAGAACATGTGAAAACTGTTAGTATACTTACTGCTAGACAATTAGGACTAAACAGCTTGATAATTAATAACTAGATCCATACATTTAAACTTTACAGCTACAACGAATGACAACTAGACAAACAGCCTTGTATGAATTTTTTTTGACAGTTTTAATTTCTTTTAACACAGAACATCATAACGTAGAGTTAAACTACTGAGATTATTGAAAAAAAAAAAGAAATAAAACGGAATTAAGGTAGAGTAGGTTATAAAAACGTAAATTGTTTTTCCCATTTCTTCTTTAGTGTAGAGTTTTTGTGGGTATGTAGTAAAGTTTTACGTTATATTTTTGAAGTAACTAAATTATTGATTGTTGCATTATATAAACGTATGCGACATCTAATGGATTTAGATGTATTTTTGAATTCATCTCTTTCTGTTTACAGATCGTATTAGATTGTTTCGCAAGAGTACTAAAAGCCAGCAAGTTGACGACTGCTTCCACATCTTGGTCATTAGGAAAAAGACACATCTTTTTAAGGTTTGACAAGATGCCACTATATGATAAAAATAGTTTAAATGTTCCTCTAACTGATAGCTGTAATATTTAACAACTAGAAACAACGTATAACCTTAAATATAGTTACAGAAAAACAGAAGTATTATTGTTTCTCGTGAAGTTACTTAATTAATTAGTGTATTTTGGGCTTCTGACGTATTATACTTATAATTGCCATAAGACATTAGTATTAGACCTATTAGGCCTAATAATCATATCTTATGACAAGTATAACTGTAATAAGTTTTCTCACAAACTGTTCATAAGACATTAGTATGAGACCTATTAGGCCTAATAATCATATCTTATGACAAGTATAATTGTAATAAATTTTCTCACAAATTGTTCATAAGACATTAGTATTAGACCTATTAAGCCTAATAATTATATCTTATGACAAGTATAATTGTAATAAGTTTCTCACAAATTGTTCATAAGACATTAGTATTAGACCTATTAGGCCTAATAATTATATCTTATGACAAGTATAATTGTAATAATTTTTCTCACAAATTGTTCATAAGACATTAGTATTAGACCTATTAGGCCTAATAATTATATCCTATGACAAGTATAATTGTAATAATTTTTCTCACAAATTGTTTATTTCAACAGACAAATGTTTTATAGTTAGTTTCTAGCACTATTATTTTTACAGGGATTTCAACCAATTTCACTAAAATAATTATTTTTACAGTTTAGAAGTGCATAATTTGTAAATTTGTTTTAAAGATACATGATGAATTAAAATGCGTTACGATGAGCAATCTAGAAATATTTTTAAGGGTTTATATAACTATAACGGCTTACAAATATTAAATATTTGAGCATTTCTTTAGATTGCATATTGTTCCATTGTGTATGCATTGAATGCAAAGTCGTTTTAAGAAAAACATTGATTTTTAGCTTTCAGATTTTATTTTATGCCATTTTTTTATGTTGTGTTTTTAATCTATGCAGTGATTAGTATTAGAGGTCAGTTGTTTTTTGCAGCGAGGGGGCGCGACAGGAACTGGAGAGGTTACGAGCAGAGCGACGCAACAACGCAGCAATGCTTGTCCAATCAACGTGGAGAGACTGGAAACTACGTAGGGGGTGGCTCACGTTTCAACGTAACCCTCGACCACGGGCCACAAAGTAAGATTTATATCTTGTATTATTTGATAAGGTAGTTAAACACATCATCAAGTAATATAGTTATTAATGAACTTCGTAAAATGTCGAAAAAAAAAAACGAAATCAGCATGAGTACTTCGCGTTAACTTTTTCCATAGCTTCTGCTATGCCTAATTATCAAAGCTAGTCGAACTTTCTTAGTTAACTGCAAGTTCTGGAAAAATGATCTCCATAAAATGGGAATCCTTACGGAAATGTAACTTTAAGTCAAATTGTCCCTGGTGACTGCTGGGAAACTCGACCTCGATGTCCCTGGTGACTGCTGGAAAACTCGACCTCGATGTCCCTGGTGACTGTTGGGAAACTCGACCTCGATGTCCCTGATGACTGCTGGGAAACTCGCCCTTGATGTCCCTGGTTCAGGGATTTTGAACAAGCACTGTGTTAAGTTTAACCATTGGAAAGTATGCTTACTGTGACAATTGTGAAGAAACTAGACTGTTTTAAAGTTAGTCACTTGATAAGCAGAAAGAGTACTTTCTGAAAAATATGCATTAATTATACTGAACAGAAAGAGTGATCCTGAAAATTATTGTATAACATAAAATTATAAAAACAGTCAAACTGAATACGTGCTCAGCTGTGGTTTCCAAGTAGGCTTAGTGGTAATCAAGTTATAAAAACAGTCAAACTGAATACGTACTCAGCTGTGGTTTCCAAGTAGGCTTAGTGGTAATCAAGTTATAAAAACAGTCAGACTGAATACATGTTGAGTTTTTGTTTCAAAAAAAAAAGTTTCATATAGATAAATACAAATATTTTTTTCAGACCTTTTCCTTACCCCCTTCCACCTGCTATTGCGAACACTTCTAGACCACGCCCTCAACCTGTTGCTGGAACCCCTCCTACTGACGTGGAGAAAGATCACAAAGGAATTAAACACCTATTTTCTTTCCTTGGGCAAGATCTGGTAGTTTTGATTTTTACATAATCTTCCTGTAAACATGTTGTACGATACTAAGAAACAATAAGTTATCTTCTCTGAAACCTCAGTCATTTACTCACGGTATACAAGCTTGGAGAAGATAAATTTACAAATAATCAATTAACAGAGTTTCCACTTAGCTCTTCCTCTAACTAATTATATTTGCATGAATAAAACACGTGACTTTAACAGTAACCTGAGAGTAACTGGTTGAGATGTCAGTATTGAGGATGGTATTTTTGGATAGCGATAATGAAAGACTGTTCATTTTATGAAGGAACGCCCGCCTGCAGTCCCCCCCAGTCGGCCGTACACTGTGACTGGCAGCACCAGAATAGGGTACCCTCAAACCAGGGTAATAAGGGTTAACTTTCCAGGTTAGTCTGTCTGTAAAATTAAGGAATTCTAGACAGTGTTTGTAACATGAAAATACAATGATTATTTGTGGAATGACAAGAAATCTTGAAATATTTCAACTTGTTCCTTATGTAGACTGCTGTATTACGTACTAATAGTTAAGTATGTGATAAGTATGTTTTATAACATATTAAAAAAGTCCACTGTAACTTATTGAATATATATATTGTTTCTTATCTAACTTGAAATTTGTTAAGTAATTTAAATATGTGCCATTATTATAGAAGACGGCAGCGGGGAAGTTCAGATGGCCAAGGGCGAAACGGTGGTGGTGTTGGGAGCCTCCGAGCGACGCGGCCATCTGGTGGTGGACCACAAAAACCACAAAATCCATGTCCCATACCAGTATCTAGAACTAAAGACCACAGCCAACACTTAACTTGTAAAAGGGGCCCTACAAGAGTCATGTCGTACACAGAGTCAAGGTCGTCGTGTAACTAGGAGTAAGTCATTATTAAGTTTCATTGTTGACTGATCGTAACTCCTAGAACTGATGTTACTGTTGGTGTAGAAGTCAGTGTTCAAAGTAAGTCATTATTAAGTGTCATTGTTGAGTGATCGTCGTGTGACGCCGAGTATTGGTGGATTATTAGTTGAAAGCAGCTTTGTAAGTGTAAAACACATGTACAAGAGTCATCACACTTAAAGTAACTAACACACTTAACAACATTTGTATATATACTGAACAGTACGTACGTTACGTTCTGGTACTCGTCCCTAATTATTTTTATAAGGAAAAATAAACCCAAAAAAGTCGATTTGTTAATTATGTTAATATGTTTTATATTTATAGAATTTTCAATTTAAGTGTCAAGTTATTAATGTATTTACTAATTCAGTTAATTGTACATTGTTGGTGAGAAAATATTGTTCCAAAAACATGTATAGATCTTTACCAGTGTGGATTTTTTTTTTATTCTGAAGTAGTCAATGCAAAACATATCAAATTTCTTCTGGTGTTTTCAAGTGTAAACATAATCGTTGTTTCATATGAAGAAACTGAAATAATTCAATCATTTTCGTATGTGACGTCAATACTTATTTGACTTCTTGGTACTTCCGATAACAGCAGTGACTAACTAATACGATAATTCTACACTAGCAACACCTGTAAGATAGTGGAAGGACTACTAACTTAGGTTTACAAAGCATGCGATCTGTTTAAATAAAGATATAAATCACGACTTAAATTGATGAAACATAACAGAACGCCATCTGGTGTAAGTTACGAATTACAAGTACATATATTTGCAAAGCAAGCGACCTACTTAAATAAAGCTTTAATGACGAAGCAAAGTGATGAAACATAATAGAGAAAAGTAACTTATAATTACTGTATGGTGGTTACAAGGTTGGTCAAATTGACCGAGTCCATATAGAGTTTAGAGTAGAGAAAAAGTTTGATAGAAAAAAACAAACAAAAACGTTTGTTATTTATTAAGGAGGCTTTAAAGGTTTGACAAATGAAATTTGGAAATTTTGAGATGAAGAAAAATATTTTTAACCTTAAAATGAAAGTCATTGCACTCGAAGCAGTCGACACTCTGATTTCATACATTCATGAAATATTTCGTAAAAATACGTAGTAAAAATGATTTTTGTGTGCAAAAAAGAAATGAGTTCTAGTGTTTACTGAAGGCTTGCTAAATTTCATGAAGATACACAAAATGTATTAAAAGTTACAGTTTGGAAACTGATTAATTTGGGGTTATGAGGTCGGTCACATCGCCCGATCTCGTATAGAAAAAGTTAATATCTTTGAACAAGGTTCATTATACCTTAACTAAATACCGACAGACTACTGGGTGAACATAATTTTAATTAATGCCGCAGAAAAAAGTTCATTATACCTCTTACTAAATACCGACAGACTACTGGGTAAACATCGGTTCAGTTATACCACTGAACAAGGTTCATTATACCGACAGACTACTGGGTCAACATTGTTTCAATTAATTCCGCCGATTAATTCTTCCTCAGTTTCGGCTATTTTCACATCACTGCGTATGTTTGTTCTCCAGTTCGAAGGTTGTCTTCATCCATCAACGTGCAAAAAAATTAAAAAAACAAAGACTAGGGTGTTAATTTATAACTTTTATTACTGTTTCTGGTTTAACTGGATAAGCATTTGACGTCATAGTTCTTTTGGTTGTTCTTTATTATTAATCACAAAGCTACACAAAGGGCTATCTGTGCTCTGCCCACCACGGGTATCGAAACCCGGTTTATAGCGGTATAAGTCCGCAGACATACCGCTGTGCCACTGGGGGGGCTTTACGTCATAGAAAAAAAATGCAAAAATAAAACTTAACTCAAAACATATGTAATGTGTAAGCGGTTATGGAGAAAAGTGAATCTCAAATAATGCTTAATAGTTAGTAGAGTAAAAGAACAGAAATTCAAGATCCAATTGTGTGAGTAAACTGCAATCCAATCTCCAGTTGTGTTAGTAACCGGCAATTCAACCACCAGTTGTGTCAGTAACCGGCAATTCAACCACCAGTTGTTTCAGTAACTGGCAATTCAATCTCCAGTTGTGTGAGTAAATGGCAATTCAATCTCCAGTTGTGTGAGTAAACGGCAATTCAATCTCCAGTTGTGTCAGTAACCGGCAATTCAACCACCAGTTGTGTCAGTAACCGGGAATTCAACCACCAGTTGTGTGAGTAAACGGCAATTCAATCTCCAGTTGTGTCAGTAACCGGCAATTCAACCACCAGTTGTGTCAAGTAAACCGGCAATTCAATCTCCAGTTGTGTCAGTAATCGGCAATTCAATCTCCAGTTGTGTGAGTAATCGGCAATTCAATCTCCAGTTGTGTGAGTAAACGGCAATTCAATCTCCAGTTGTGTGAGTAAACGGCAATTCAATCTCCAGTTGTGTCAGTAAACGGCAATTCAATCTCCAGTTGTGTCAGTAACCGGCAATTCAACCACCAGTTGTGACAGTAACCGGCAATTCAATCTCCAGTTGTGTGAGTAAACGGCAATTCAACCACCAGTTGTGTGAGTAAACGGCAATTCAACCACCAGTTGTGTCAGTAAACGGCAATTCAACCACCAGTTGTGTGAGTAAACGGCATTTAAAGCTCCAGTTGTGTGAGTAAACGGCAATTCAACCACCAGTTGTGTGAGTAAACGGCAATTCAATCTCCAGTTGTGTCAGTAAACGGCATTTAAAGCTCCAGTTGTGTCAGTAAACGGCAATTCAACCTCCAGTTGTGTGAGGGAACTGAAATTCAAGCCCCAATAGTGTCCAGAAACAGAAATTCAACATCAAGAGTGTGAAGAAATATAAATTAAAGCCACAAAAAAGCTTTAGAAAAATATCGCATGTGAAAGGTTAGGTAGTGAACATAATTTACTATATCCTAATAAGCTACGACTGGGTTGGCTATATCTTGGCATCATCAGTTATTGGGTTGGTTATATCTTGGCATCATCAGTTATTGGGTTGGCTATATCTTGGCATCATCAGTTATTGGGTTGGTTATATCTTGGCATCATCAGTTATTGGGTTGGCTATATCTTGGCATCATCAGTTATTGGGTTGGTTATATCTTGACATCATCAGTTATTGGGTTGGTTATATCTTGGCATCATCAGTTATTGGGTTGGTTATATCTTGGTATCATCAGTTATTACTTTGGAAATTTAAAGAACAAATTACGTCATTTTTAACTATACTGTTGATCTTTGAACCGTTTTTATTAAATCTTACCCAAAGTTGTTTTGTTTATTAAATAAAAAAGCTACACAATGGGCTCTCTGTGCTGTGCCCACCAAGGATATCGAAGCCTCCTCATTTCCGGATCGAGATATAGGTAAATCTGAGAGGACCTGGTTCGATGTCGACCTCTTCCTTTCGAAACCTTGGTTTTAGCGTCATTTAAATAAAGCCTTCAAGGCTTACCGTTGAGCCACTGAAAGACTAGTTACACGCTGATTGGCTGTTAGCTTTGTGACATCACTTCGTGATTAATTACCGAGTTATTTTATATATTACTGTAAATATTTGCCCATTTGTTAATACGTATGAATTTTAATCAAAGCAGCATCTTCAGTTTGTTCTTAATCTCTCTGTGGTAGTATAAAAACAGAATTGATTTAAGCAAAATATTTCTTGACAGGTACAATACATATTAGTGACCTCTTCTGGCAGATTTAGGAAATAAAAACAATATTCTAATAGAATGTATTCTCGCTCACGAGCGACAATGATTTAAATCTTTTTTTTCTTCTACTATATATCTAATAAAGAATCATCAAAACAATACTTAAAACAAGATTGGTTTTCTTATTGTTACTTGTCCAGATTAAGATTATAAATGATGTTCTTATTATTCAAATTCATTCTTGTTTACAAATGAAAAAAGTAAAGAAATGACGTAATTAAAAGCAGCTCAATTGTCTCATTTAGTTAATTCATACCGTTGTTTGTTTATTTTTACCGTTTTCAAAAAACAGATTGCTGTAATATTTTGTTGTACAATTTCTTTTTCATTTGAATACAAGTCCGAAATTAGTTTTCATTCCAATGTTTGTGTGAAATACGATGTATATTTATATGTATAAAATACAATTTCTTTATGTATACGTTATGTCTGTACATTTCTGTTTTATTAAGTTAACACAAAAGCCGTTTTATTGAACTTTAGAAAGGAGGGGTATTCGAGTGCCTTGTGCTGCCATCTTGTGTCATCAAGAAATAACATACAGGAGTGTTGCTAAGATGACTGATGTGATATTATTAAAATTTTACGTTTTATTAAACAATATATTTGTACTTTTGCTTATTATTCACTGTGATAATGAAGAACGTACAGTAATATAATTAAGTAACAATTTTTAAAACACATAAAGTTCATGCAGTCACCGTAACACCTCAGATTATCTATAATCCTAAAATATATTTTTTTTTACTTAAAAACTAATACATTTTTAATTGCTTTGCTTAACAGAAGGGTGTATTACCCAGAAATTTCAGTATTTAAACTACAGTATGCTTCTTGTCCAGATATTTCTAGATACACATATTTTTTGGCACTTTATTTTCTAGCAAAAAAAAAAACAAACAACAACACATAACGTAAAATAAATTTATCACTTCTAATGGCGAAACACACACACACACACACACAAATTACAAAGCGTTTATTGTCCGTCTAATATTTAAAAATTCCGAAACTATTTGATACAAAGTAAAATGACTACACTTTCTTGTGGTTCAAAATGACGAGTGAGGTCCAGAGAGCTAGATTTTTTACTTCTTGTTAATCGAGATACTGTGATCGTTTCCGTGAATGGACAGGTTAAGATAACATGAAACGGTCTCCTTTGACGACGAGGAAACTCGTGGCTGTTTCGTATATACGGTATTACAACGCTGATCCAGTGAAAGAACAATACAGTACCTTATGAAAACAACCGTGTATTTATAAATAACGTTTAGATCGTGGAACAATAAGTTTCAACACTTGCACGTGTCCTCTTTAGTCGAACCTTTCTTCGGCTCACAGAATGGCTCCCCGAGTTATTTTTGAAGTACAAACTTTTAGCTCATAGCTCCGTCATCTCTTGACCGATTTGAGATATAATAACAGTTTTGGACTCGGGAGGTAAAACCCTTTCGATTGATGTATTTGACCACGCCCAAGGTTTCATAGATAAATTTACTCTAATTCTGCCGCGGCTATTGAGGATTCCCTCTTGTTCAGATACATGGGAACTCTTTATCATCAAATCAACAAAATTAGAAATTATCAATATATACGTATGTATGGAAAGTTCTCTAATCCAAAGGTTGCTAAACTTCAACACCTCTAAAGGTCGTTTTAATCTGAATCCCTTTCTGACGTCATATGTCCCGAACCTACTTGGAATTTCCGTTATAAAATAAGATGTGTTTGTTTGTAATTAGGCACAAAGCTACACAGTGGGCTATCTGTGCTCTGCCCACGACGGGTATCGAAACCCGGATTCTAGCGTTATAAGTCCGCAGACATACCGCTGTGCCACTGGGGGTGGGGGCAGGTGTGTGTTTGCTTGTTTGTGATTAATCACAAAGCTACACAGTGGGCTATCTGTGCTCTGCCCACGACGGGTATCGAAACCCGGATTCTA